TCAACCTTTTTTTTTTCTTTTTTAGATTTAAACTTTACCAAATGCTAAAGAAAAAGTCTAGCCGAGATTCTGGAAGGAAGATTATTACGCACGTGTGCTCCCTGTGCGCTTCCTTTTTCAAAACGCACCCAAAAAAAATAAATATAGCCCTTTTGGCCTCTTCTATGATCAGCCGGGGCCCACAAATAACACAAAACTACAAATTGAGCAATGAGATGATGCTGACGAAGGATTACGACCACAATTATCACTAATTAGTAAAACAAATAGTGGCATTATTAGCCGGCCGCCTACTACCTAAACCTAATCCCCCGCCTTAATTATATCGACCCCACAAAAGCCAAACCTCCCCATTTTTTTTTTTTATTCCATCCTACTGCAGCCCTACTAATATATTATCATGAAAAGGGGAAGATAATATTCACTTCAGTACTCCAAGTTTCACTCAGTTAATTTATTGGTTAGATACATAAATTAGTTTGCAGAAAAAATTATTAATGAGTTAAATGCTAATAAAATAGTCAGATCATTGCAGTGACCGTGGGAGAGAGGGTCATCTCGATGCGATCAAACAATGATGACGTTAAAGTGTAAAAAAAAAGCAGATAAATTTTTTATTAAATTATTTTGACAGATCTAAACCCCTATCTAGTATACGAAAGGTGAGAAATGGGTAAAAAAAGATGGTTAAAGTGATAATTAACTCAAAAGAGGAGGGGGGCTAAAAGAAAAAGATAAATCGCATGCAAAAGCACGATTATTGGTGAACAGCTGTATGTACCGGCACCGTCCGATTAAAGTAGCTCCGTCTGAAAACCGTCGAGTACTCCGGCAGCTCTCCCAGCCCCGCGAAGAGCGCGTCCTCCTCCTCGTCGCCCTTAAAGTCGCCGATCCTCTCGAACTCTCTCGGCCGCCAGATCAGCGGGCCCACGAACACCGACCCGTACAGGAGCGTGTCGTCGGGGGCGACGTGGACGACGCAGGACCCCACGTCGGAGTAGCCAGAAGTCGTCGGCCGGCGATCAGATGCGAGAACTCGACTCTCCGGATCCGGATCGGATGCGGGCTCGGGCGGCGCCGGGCTGACCGGGCTCGGGCCGATCGCGGGTCCGCCTCCTCTTTGCCGCGCGGTGGCGGAGCTCGGTGGCCCTTGGGCGGCGGGGGCCAGGCGTGGTTGTGCTCGCACGTGTAGGTCACGAGGACGACGGTGGGGTCCGCCCTGCTCCGCTCCACCTGCTTCCTCGCCGGGCAGCCCTTCGAGGCTGCTGCACTGTAGTGCCCCTGCGACACGGAGGCCCATGTTAGCACAGAGGCAGGCCGTCGCGTGCTAAAGTGCGCCGCACGGATTCCAAATTATCCACTCGGCTCGTAGTGTTAGTTACGAAATTTTTTTTCCCCCGATTATACCAGCAAAACGGAGCATCTATTTATTTATTTATTTGTTTATTTTCACCTCGGGTAGGGGGATCCCTTGATGGGCTTCTGGCCGTACTTCCTCCAGGCCCAGGAATCCGACGGCGGCGCGGCGCACTCG